GGCCGCGCCGACAGGTGGAGCTACAAGCGCGATGGCGAGCCCGCCGCTGACTACGGCATCGGTCCCCCCGACCGTCAGTGGAGCTGGAAGCGCGAGTCGGAGAGCGCCGAGTCGCAGTAGAAAGTCCATCGTCCTGCCTACATCAGATCCTCGTGCTTTCACTCTAGCAACTACACCACTCATAGACGCACCTACGATGAGGGCTTCTCGACCTGCATCTGGCCATGTGGACGTAGCATTGCGCTGGTGCATTGTCGAGTCTCCCGCTCCTGCGCGGCTCTACTCAGCCTTGACCGAACGGGACCGGTGCCCCAAAGCAAGGCTGTGCACCGCCAGGCGCATCTTCTCCGCTTGCGCGCTTGCCTGTCGGTTCTTCCCCCACACTCCTTTTGGTCTTCCCCCCCTATCGAACTTTGCAGTCGGGTCGAGCGCATGCATACAATCGTTGCGACCCCAATCTTGTCATTGTCCTGTCCGTGACCACTCTGTCGATCGGCACGTTTCCATCTTGTACTTTGCAGCAATCAAGTCCTGTCTCTCTGGACCGTACGTCTACGTTGGATGCTCCTTGGGGTCGAAGCTCGAACGATCAGGTGAGACATGGCCATTCGGGCCGGGACGAAGGGTAGCAGGGGGCACAGGTTGGCGCATGGAGTGATGAGCAGCTTTGAATCGGCGTTAGACAAGCGCAGTCTGAAATTTAGGTGTAGGGTGCAAACGGGTGTCAGGCGACGCACAACAATGGCGCCACGCACGGCTTTGTTTGCGCAGCTCAGAGCGCTGAGACTCTAACATTTCGTACCCGCTGCCGAGTCACCTGTCTGCCCAGAATCGTCTCGAAGCTGCGCCTATCCAGACCGATTGTTTGGGAATGTAGCTGTTGTTAACCTGGACCTTATCGCTCGGATGCTTTGGGGAAGGGTTTAGGGTTGGGGCAAACTCATGGGGAAGCCGCTGACATGACCGTGCGCAAATGGCGGTTGAGCTTCTTCGCTTTGAAGCGCGGAGACCCAGAGGATAAATCTCGGGATTCGGCTCCCTCTCCACACGTTGCAGTCGCGTTGATCCCGGCAGCCGGCTGTCTTTCAGGCTCAACACCTGCTAACTCCCATCTTTCCCAGGACGGTCGATCGCTTTGCCAAGTTTCGTGATACGGCAGCTAGGCCGTTGAAGAGGCGCAAGAGCTGCGCGACTACCGGACCAGCATGGTGCACAGCGTCCCCGGGGAGTCGAGGCCGAAAGATCGCTCGCGTCGAACACGGTCAACGAAAGCATCGCGGTCACGGACGTCACGACATGCTCTGCGACTGGTTTTGCTAAGCATCCTCGTGGCACTCGTAGCGATCGTTGCGCCACTCGTATTTCCGGAAGCTTTCCTCACCGAGGAGCAGGTCGAGCAAGTCACGAGATTCTTCGAATCAGCAGGACTTGGAGATACACTTGCGCAGCTTCAAGGCCGAGAATCGTCGGATTTGTCAGGCAGATCTCGGGCAGGACAGTGGGATGAATCAAGCTCATCGCAGACTACTGTACGTGGAGGGCATACGAACAACTGGGCGGTGCTGGTGTGCACGTCCAAGTTCTGGTTCAACTACCGTCACATTGCCAACACTCTCGGCATGTACCGAACGGTCAAGCGGCTGGGCATTCCGGACAGCAACATCATCCTCATGCTTGCGGACGACGCCGCATGCAATCCGCGCAACAAGTTCCCCGGAAATGTTTGGGCGTCGACTGCCAATCGCCTCGACCTTTACGGGCACAATATCGAGGTCGACTATCGGGGCTACGAGGTGTCGGTGGAAAACCTCATCCGGCTTCTCACGGGGCGACTGCCGCCCACGACGCCCAAGTCGAAGCGTCTCGAGAGCGATGCTCGTTCCAACGTGTTCCTGTACATGACGGGGCATGGGGGGGACGAGTTCCTCAAGTTCCAGGACTACGAGGAGATCTCGGCGGTGGATATAGCGGATGCGATCGAGCAGATGTGGCAGAAGAAACGATACCACCAGCTCTTCTTTATGGTGGATACGTGCCAGGCCAACACGCTGTATACGCGTATCTACTCGCCCAACGTGCTGGCGACAGGATCATCCGCCAAGGGCCAGAACTCGTACTCGCATGGCGCTGACGACGATCTGGGCGTGGCCATGATTGATCGGTTCACCAACTTTGTGCTGGAATGGATGGAGGACAAGAACAAGACGTCGGATGCTACGATGCAAGATCTGTTTGCAGCGTACGATCCGAGTCGGATCGAGTCGGATCCAGGCGTGCGCACCGACCTGTTTCCGTGGCCATTGACGGATGTCAAGATCACCGACTTTTTCGGCGGCGTCGCCCAGGTCGATCTCACGCATCAGAGCACCGACACGCCGTTTCTCATGTCCTAGAAATGCTGCAAGAATGGCTTTGTGTCACACGTCACACGTCACACGTCACACGTCACCGCGAGCGAGTTTGTTGAGGGATTCTGGATTGCGTGAAGTCTCACCGCCATCATTGGGCTTGCGCCCGGAGCGTGCGCTCGTGCAGGCGTTGTTGATGAAAGACACGGACCAAGCATGCACTTACCTGCTGGTGGAGCTACGTCAAGCTCCGAGTCGTATCTGCTCATCTTTGCGCGGTGCCGAGATCGGAGTTTGACGCCTCCTCTATGGTGTCCTTTGAGATGGCGGGTCCAGTTCGCGTAGCGGCCAAGGGTGCCGTGAGCAATGCACGGCTAGAGGCGCAAAGCGAAGCATACGAGCGTCGAAACTGCGAGTGTGGGCAGGACGATGCTTTTGCACCACCTGCACCACCGCCAAATGCTCGCGCGCTCTCGACGTGTAAGTCAGCTGATCTCTAGTAACAACACCTTCACCACAGATTCGAGGGTTGGTGCCCCGGATCTACTCAATTCGATCGGTCCATCCGTCGAGGCTGTTACATGCCAGTTTATAGGCATTCATCGTGCTCCAGGCCGTCGGGCATCGTCCGAAGTAGTCACGCATTTTTGGGGGATCTCCGAAACCTTTCGTCTTGTTGGGATCCATGGAGCCATCGACCAGATTGTTCGTCCGGAGCATCGGCGCGGTGCGCGCGGGAAAACGGACCGCCAGAGGAAGTGAAAGCACAGATATCGAGACATTGAATTGGTTGCATGGCGCCTAGCCGCCACCGTCACGCGAAAGACCGGTCCAGGTGATCGAGAGAGAAGCCAGATAGCTTTGCAGAAGCGAATCGCCGTGGGCAGTAGACCGGGAAGTGGAGACGGGGATTTTTGACATATCGAGGACCAGAAGGGCGAGGAAACGAAGAAGATACACGCGCGTTCATGTTGACAGGAGCGAGCAAGCTCTTCCGAGCCGTGGACAAACTGTCTCCCGGCAAGAGAGAAAGAGAAATGAACAACAAGAGGAGGAACGGTGTAGAACGCCGTGGCGTCACCGCCTTGCAAGGCGATCGAGCGGAGAAAACGACTTACACAGCTAGCCTGGCGAGGTTGGCGAGTTGTTGGCTCTAGTCATCGCGGGGAGCGGGCACGTCGTCGTCGTCGCGGGGAGGGAGGGGGCTTCGACTGTCGTATCGGCCGTTGCGCTCGGGAGCGGGTTCGCGGCTGTCTTCGCGGTCGCGGGGCTCGCGGCTGTCCTCGCGACGGCGAGGGGGCGGGCTGTCGTCACGACGACGGGGAGGGCTGCGGTCTCGGTCGTCTCGGTCGTCGCGTGCGGGGCGAGCGGGGTCGATGCGGAGCTTGTAGCCGCGCAGCTCGATGCCCTCGATCTTGTCGAGGGCGCGCTCGTAGTCGTCGCGGTTGTCGTACTCGATGACGCCCTCATCGGGGCGCGAAGGGTCTACATCGGCGAAAGAGATGGAGCCGTGCTCGCGGCCGATGTCCTTGAGGTCCTGCCAGCTGGTGTTGGGAGGCAGGTTGGAGACGATGCAGCGGAACTGACCGCGGCGGATGCGGGGCTCTCGGCGCGGGGGAGGAGCGCCGTAGCGGGAAGGAGGCTCCCTGCCGGGAGGGCCACCACGACGGTCGTAAGGGTCGGCGCCGTAGCCGGCGGGCTCGCGGCGACGCTCGCCACTCTTGGCATGCTGAACTACGATGCGCTCGCCCATGAAGTTGCGGCCGTCGAAGTCCTTGACGGCATCTTCGGCATCGCGAGGGTGTTCGAACTCGACGAATCCGAACGAGCCCATGATGCGGACATCCTGGAGGCGCTGTTGGGGTGTTTAAAGGCGATGGTCAGCAAGGAGTGTAGCGGTTGCGGGTGGCGTGAGAAGGAGAGAGAACTTACACCGTAGTCACGAAAGAGATCGTCGATGTCGCCACGACGGACATCAGGAGGAAGCTTGCCGACGTAGACACGGGTGGACATGATGGAGTGATCGATATGCGGGAAGAAAGAGGTCGATGTATGAGAGCCGCGAGACCGAGGATGGAGGTTGGAAGACAAGAAGATGAAAAGGGACCGCTGCAGGTACACTCGGTGCGGATCCAGGCTGCGGGCCGCGTGCGTCTACCTCAGCCCTGCGGGGATTCGGGTGGCAGGGAGGGTCGTGTCGATTCAACATTCGAAATTGATTCGAGACGATGATCTAACACAATCGCTTTTGTTACCCGGCCTGGAATCTCGACGCAGGCTGCCTCTGCAACGCCCGACTCTTGCTTGATCGGAAGATCCGATGCGACTGCTCGGGGGAAGCCGAAGCATCGCAGGGATTTGCATAAAGCGATGGATGCGATGGGAGAGGCGGAAGATTTCACGAGGCCAAAAAAAGGGGCGTGGTGGGATGAGGAGCAACTTCTACGCCGCGTCGCTGCTTGCCGACTGCATTCTGGCGCCAGGCAAAATTGGGCAGGTGTGAGGTGGCTCAGCTGCTCGACGAGGCGGGCGGCGAGATGGGATCGGCAGATCCTACCGACGGCAGCAACATGCAGCTCGCCTAATCCCTCGCTGCATGTTGGCACAGACAGAGGTGCATCTCACCACACCGCGCCTGCCGAGGCTCTTCTGCGAGACAGTAATTTGGGTCGGCTAGAGTGGGTGATGCTCGCCGACTGCATCCGACGATGGCGGCCGCCGTCTGATGCTGGCGGATGAGAGTGATTTTTCGGTTTTAAGGCTCGATTGGGTGTGGCATTTTTTCGCGTCGAGTGTCGGCCAAGCGGAGCGCGAAAAGCGCGTTGAGAAGTTGCAGCGAGCGGTAGCATGGCGACACTGCGACACTGGCGCTCGTTGCTTGGCACACCCACTCGCCCCCTCGCAATTCTCTCTCCGCGTCGTCCGCTGAACAGCTAGCTGCCCGTGACACGCTGCTGCTGCCGCGGCCGCGGCCGCCTCCGCTCCACTCACCCGCCCGCCCGCCCGCCTCCC